GGGGGGGGGGGGTGGCGTCTTTAGAGAGACAGCACGCAAGGATGACATCCTAAAATAGACCCTCGCAGGTTGTGCTGCTGGAAACGGTCCCACACATTACCCTGCTGGTTCTTAGCAAAGTCAATGAAGATTTCACTCAAAGAAGAGTCTTTATAAAGCTCAGAGGAGCTGTGGGTGGTTTGGACTCGCAGTCCAAATCTGTAGACTTGTGCAGATAGGAGAAACTGAGATTTAACTGTACGGATTCTGGATTTGGACTCTGTAATCGCTCTGATTTGTATGGTTTATACAGATTCAGCAAATTCCCCATCAGGGAATCAACCAAACAACCGGTATGTAGTTACAAACAGAAAAGAACACTCAAGCAAGCATAATAAAACAAATGCAAATGAAATTTTAAAATGAAATGGAACTGACAACATGGAGGGTGAGTGGAAAAAAGCAATGAAAGTCTCGCAGCGGGTTCTTACGTTATTTGAGCGCAGCGACACTCTTCCCCCACAGCGGGCGCAGAACTTGGTCTGGCAGTAGGAACACAGATGCCCACAGCCATCTGCAAACTTGGTCTTACGGCAGATGCCACAAGTAGGTGCATCATCTTTATGGACAGCCTGCTGCCGTTTCGTTTCTGCTCCAATCTTCCTCACCTGCTCCTTATAACTCTCAAACTGCTGGTGCAGTGTCCTGACAGAAAATAAAAGAGGGAGAAAGAAAGAGAGAAAGGGGAAGCAGTTTGTATTGTTAGAAAAACTGTTATCTACAACTAAAACTATTAACATTGTTATGAAGTATTGCAGACGATCAACTAAAAATTTTATTTTCCAGATAAACATGAATGTATCCTGACAACGTTTATGAACTATAGGGGTGATGGACAGCATTTAGCACATGTACAACATCACATTATATCCGAAATGTGTCTTATAGTTAGGTGTCTCATCTGAATTGTAACCTAACTCCACTTTGTTTGTCTTCTCCGATTAAAAATAAACTGTTAATGAATTGCCAATGAGGCACTGCTGTCTGCTTTAAAAAGATGGGGCTTTGTTCCAGAAACATTTCTCAAAGGAACATCACATTAGCATAACAGTTCTCTTATAGCAAGTGGTTAGCAGCTCTAATGACCACGGTAAAGACATTAAGCCATTTAAAACAGATTCCCCTTAAAAAAATACACAGCTCATTGTCAATTGTGAATTCATTGCACGCATTTCTTTGTAAAAGTTGCCTCCAACACTATTGGCTGACAGGTAACCAAAAACGTTCATCCTCACCTTCTACCCAATATCCCCCAGTTTTGTTCAGCCCCATTAAATGTACTTCGGTTACACTGCAGTAAAAATCATTCTTCAAGAAAACAAAACTGCAAAAACAAGTGCAAAGCATCACCTCTGTTTGTGGCGAACAGCCATGATCTGCAGTTTTCTTTCAAAATCCCAAACCTGCATAAAACAGTGACTCCAGAATCCACTGAAACTCTCGAATAAAAGCACACTTCCCACGACTTCTGGTCTCCATGACTGTAAATGCTAGCGTTCTCTCTTGCTTGACCACATTTGCAGTTTCCCGTCTGGAATCAGACAGCAGACTGCAGTCCCAGGTATCTGGATGGAGGTTGTGACTTTGGGGAGTCTTGGCCAGTGATGCTATATTACGCAGTCAGGATGAAGCGTTACGTGGGAAGTCGAAGGCGTGGCGACAAGGATGAATCATTGGCAGAGGAATCAAAGAAAAGAAAAGTGACCTCTTTAAGGTTATGAGTGGATGTGCTTAAGGAGATTTATGGACATTTTATGTGCATTTATACACACATATTGAATCAGGTTTGGCAAACAGATCTTCTAAATGAGACAAAAATGTGTATGGATTTCCAGAAGAATGAAGATTACAAACATGAAGTCATTTTTCAGGAAAGTAATACAACCACTTGTGGGTAAACTTCTTTAAGTTTACTAGAGTTACATTTGAAGACGTTGACCTCTGAGAATGCTGTTGAGGTGGAGAGAGTTGAGTCTTTTGGGTCAGTGCTCTCAGCTGGGAACAGCTGTCATGGTAGCAAGGGACCAGGTCTCCAGCCATCATGGAAACACAAGTAAGCCAGCTCTACACTTCTTAAAGGAACAGTTCACCTAATAATGGAAATTCTGTCATCGTTTACTCACCCTCGTGTCACTGTCATTTCAAACCCTTATAACCTTCTTCCGTAAAATATACAGAATATACTCTATCTATCTATCTATCTATCTATCTATCTATCTATCTATCTATCTATC